AGACCTGCAAAGACCAAGAATCCCAAAGCATCTTGCCTTCATGGCTTTCATAGCCTTCATGTCGGACCACTTTTCGACGTCAGCGTCGAGGGATCACTGACAAGCAGGACCGAACCCCACCTCATCAGCAAACCCCGAAACAAAAATGCACAAACCAATTGTGTTGTGAGCAGCAGAGCTCACAGTAAGCAAAAACGTGACACCGGAGTTGCGAACTCTGTGAGCACCTCAGCGCCAAGCCGAGGCACATGACGAGCAAGCACGGTTCAAAGCGCTGCACAAACTAATTACTTCGACACAGATCGGTTCATTGTTCGTCATCGCCACCCTCCGGAGTGGCAGCACGATGAATAGCAACCATACACGAGCAGATGTCAGGCCATCGGCTCTTCAAGTTTGCAGTGATATTCTGTGTCGGGATGCCACATGTGGCTGCAACTGTGCCCAAACGAGCAATCTCCACACTGATCTCATGATGCTCTGCACCTAACTTATCCACTCGAAGGGGGGACCACCGGGGGCATACCCAGTACCGATGGCACTCATCTTCCCACGGGCAAGTCGGGCTGGTACGTCCACGGGTAGACCGATGGAGGCGCGAGGCAGTCATGGCCGCCCCTTGCATAAGGAACCTCAGGGTCGGCTGTTCCGGCTTCGGGACCCGAGCCCACAATGCCGCGAGGCAATCACGATCCACATCAGCAAGCCCACGCATGTCCCTGCGGCGACGGGAGGCCTCATGAAAAGCGGCATCACGCATTGCCTCACGGAGGAGGTGCAACACCGGCGCCCGAATCTCCTGAACAGCAGCGGCATGTTTCCGGGCCATGTCCGCAATAACTCCTGGCAGAATGTCCACAGTAGCGGCCCCGACGATGTGGGGACGAACCTCAACCGGCCGGTCCTCGAGTAGAGTCGACGTGGTGCCGCTGGCCCCGGTGATCCCGCAGAGTATCCCATGCGACCCACGGCCCACCAAACTGCGCGATAGCAGCCTGGAAGTTCGAGAAAAAGGAATCAGCAGGGGGAGAAATGCGTGCCTCGCAAAGCTCAAAGTGGCGGCGCACGGTAGCACGACATTCCGCATTGGTGTTGAGCAAACGGAATAAGATCGCAGCCTGCTCGTGTAGCAATGCTTCACGGAGCGAGCATCGATGTACTGGGGACAGTAAGGCCAAGGAGACCTCAACACATCGACAAATGTTTTCCTTGCGCGAGTTGCACGAGAGGGCATACAAGGAGGCGACCCCGCCATCTTCCGCGGGGTTCCAGGCGAGAGCTGAGTAAGTGATAGTCGGGAGCAGGGCAGCGATATCAGCAGAACGACGTTCCCATCCCACCGACAGCCTGCCAAACCTGGCAACCGTCCCAAGTACCGCATCGTGCAGCTGCTGCCAACGTGCACGACAACTCGCAGGGAAGACGGGCGTGCCTGGCGACTCAGGATGAGAACCCGGACGAAGTGACCACCCAGGGACTCAAGAATGCTGGTCCGTTGCAGCCGAGTTCGCTGCACACAGAAGGCTGGGATCACCGGGTCGGCAGCCGTGCTTGCCCACTTACATTTAGAGGCATGAAGCTGAACCCCCCGCGCCAAGAGCCATGAGGCGAAGAAGTCGTGCGCGGCGCGCAGCGCATGAGCATCAGATGCAGCGAACAGCACATCATCCGCGTACTGCGAAACAGAGACCTGGGGCCAACGCTGACGCACCTGCTGCACAGGAGGGGCAAGGAAAGCCGCCAAGCAGGCGGGGGCAGTCGGGTCCCCCTGAAACAGCCCGTTGGAAGGTCGAAAAGAAGCCCACTGAAAACGGCCCTGAAGTTTCCAGATCCGCTTCAAATTACTCCAACTAGCAAAAAGCTAGTCGGCAGTAGGCTCCCCAACTCCGCAGGCCAGGAGACTGGATCGCACCGCCTGCCAGGGAAGCGAGTCAAAACATTTGTGGATGTCATACGAGATGAGATGGACGTCGCGCTCAGACAGACGGGCGTTCTGGCATTGCAACAGAGTGTGCGACATGGCACATTGCGCGGACTCAGCGGCGCGGAACCCATGGGCACTAGTTGAGAGTGAACACTCAAGAATGGCATGGAGTCGTTTAGCCAAGACCGACCCCCAAGCCCGGTATATGAGGGAAGCAAGCGAGATCGGCCGCAAGTCACCAGGGCCTCACCAGGGGCGCTCAAGAAGTCGGCATTCGCCCGTTTGGGTATCAACGAGGTAACGACCGTGACAAGAGAGGGGTGCCAAATAGCACCAGCGGCCATACCCCGCAAGACATCCGCCAGAGAATCCCAAAGTGTGAGAGGCAGGGCTAACAGCTCGTCACGCCTCCACCCGTCACAACCGCAGGCGGTATGAGCGGAAGTGCGCTGTGTGGCAGCACGCAGTTCGGCCCCCGCGATGGCCAGCAAGTCCAGCTTAGCCACCGCACGCAAACCCAGCGGCGGCAGGTCAACATCCGGAGCATCATGAGCATCGCAACCGGCAGGTGGCCGGCAGGTGTCACGGAGGATGGGTTTCCAGACGCTCTCAACCGCAGCGAAGCATGCAGGAGTGTCAAACACAGTCTGCCACTTGACGTGCTGAGCTTTCGCCCACCGGAAACGTGCAGCCTGTGAACTAGTAACCGAGGCACGCCACTGTGACAAAGCTGAGTGTCGAGCTTGACTGTGACGCCGGTTGATCTCAGCCCGGAGCCAGTCTAAGAGCGAATGAACCTCAGCACCCGAGCAAGAGAAGGGTCCACGAGAGCAAGCCTGCGACGAGCATTGGTCCAGATGCCCTGTTGCGTGCCCTGACGAAGGCTCGCATCCCAGTGAAACGAGAGCTCAGCAAGACCAGAACGGGCCCGTTCCAGACGCCTGGCATCGGCATCCCTGCGCAAGGCACATCCAGCAAGACGAACAGGCGCACAGGTACAGAGCTCCGGCTCCGCCCTGGCGCCGACAGGCGAACGCCAGATCATCCTCAGCAAGTTGGACCCAAGCCTCGTAGGCCGCCAGGGGGCGCCCAACCGCAAGGAGGGAACCAATGCGAGCGACGTCAACCGCATGCCGAGTGGCAGCATCAGTCGTAGGCGCACATCCCTGGACAGGAAAGTGGCGAGGAAGTCGCAGTGTCTCCCAGGTGTCCTCAACCAACCTACCAGCAAGATCAGCCACAACGGGTCGGTGGGTGGGGAACGGAGCCTCACAGACATAACAAAGCCCTCACGAAAAGCAGGCTGGAGAGAAGGCGACAAAAGAAGATGGTCAATGACAGAGCTCTTAGGAGCCATGCGCGCAGCAAGTGATGTCATGACCCACATTTGCCGTTTGGTAGCCGGGTAGCCCCGATCCAGCAGGCCAAAAAGGGCCATCCAAGAAGCCGCTCAAACAACGTTTCACGAGCGGTCGCATCATAGACATCAGCATAGCAGGCGACACAGGTAACCTCGGTAAACTGACGAGCGCACCCCAGGCGAGCCGCGGCCATCGCGCCACTGGGCACTGAGTTCATCAGGGACATCCAGCGGCGCGATTCTGACACCAGGGCCTCCCAACAAAGCAACTCCCCGGGAGGAAGTGACACCAGCACCTGCAACGGGAGCACCCCACACAACACAGCGGCCCTTTTTGTGAAGTTGAACCGTTAGAATCTCCTGGCCCCTGGCGGTGAGAGCCGTCTCAGCGAGGAAAGCCACACCGAAGCCAATCGCACACACTGCCGCGGCACGCGAAAATAGAGAAGTGACATTGGCGGCAATGACGCGGAAGAGAGAAGGAGTCGCGCCAGAGCTCGAGGACGTGGATTGACATGACGCACCGCCCTTCAGATCAGTCTTGGCTTTCGGTCGCCGCCTCCGTTTGGCCTGAGTCGGCTTGGACGGCAGCGGGAAGTCCATTGAACCGTTATCCAAGCTCTGTCCGGTGGCCTCCTCGACACTCCGCAGATTGTCGGAGGCCGCCGCCGCCCCAACCTCAGGAGTGGGGGCAGAACTCACAGTACCGGGAGGCTGTGGCACGGCAGGCGGATGGGCCCAAAGTTTTCAGGATGGCACTGCACGGTGAGCGGCTTCGGGGGCGCGATCGCCAGGAGTAGTGCGGCGCACACCTTTGGGGGAGCGACTGTTTTCCCACTCCTTGGGAAGGAGCGGCCGGCGATCCCGCGAAGCAGCAACATCAGCAGCACGCCCGACCCACGGAGGGGACCACCAGCTCGGAATTTGGCACATGCGCCGCAGAGAGGAGGAGGTGCCAGTCCCCGGCTCGCCGCACATCACAATACCGAACATACCTGCCCCGAGCCAGCATGCGCACAACAATCCACTTCACACCAGGATCAACAACCAAGTCGTCGCGAACCCGCCCTTGGATCTCCAGTTTGCCATATAAGCCAGGGTCTCACCCAACATCCGCCGTGTGTCGCCTGAAGCGGCTGCCAGGGCTAACGGGAGAAGGAGGGCGTCCGCGTGAAGTCGTTCCACCAACCAAGCCAAAGAGCCATGCCCTGCAGCGGAGAGCTGCGCAATCTCAGAGATGATGGCAGGGTTTTGGGAGCGCGGGAAATTGGCAGTAGAACCTGCCAGTACAGGGGCCGGGGCTTCCTTGGCACGTTTCACGGAGGGCAGGCGAGCAGCCGGCGTCGGCTCGGCAACCGGCGGAGGAGAGCGAGCGACGGCCTCAGCGAGAGCGGCAGGGGTGACGGAGGGCGTGACAGTGGCCGCATCCGAGACAGGCTGTACATTTGCAAGCCCGACCCGGTGTACCTGCCGGAGCTCCGCAACGGCAAGCTCCAAGGATTGAGTGATGGCACGTTGAGCCTTGAGATCTTCCTGTAGTTGACACATGTCACTGCTAAGGCGAGCGCTAGCATCGCAAGACTGACAGGGTTGGGACAAGGCCTCACGAAGGTGATGGATTTCCGCCCGCAACTCGGCAACAACAGCACCCCAATCCTGAGTAGCAGCACGGGCCCCAGATTCCAGGGGAGGTGTGACAGGAGTCGGGATGTCCAACGTCGAGGGTGGTGGGCATGCGCTGCACACGACGGGGCCGGGGTCCGAGACGCGCCTGGCAAAGATGCAGTTAAGGTGACACGACGGGACCATCCACATCACCAGATTTGGGCAGGTCGGGAAGGGCGTGGGAGGAATCGACAATCGGTTCAGGGGCATGGGCCGTACAGGGGCAGAGCATGACAATGGAGCACGTGACCGGCATAGCAGCAACCTCAGCACTCGAAGCAGCACGCACAACAGAATCATCCTTGAGCAGCCACCCGTGCGGCTGGGACGGATCCGCCTGCAGAACGATGTAGTGGCCATCGTCAGCACGAGGCCCCTTGTGACAGATTACTGCACCGATACTCCAATCCGTATCGAAGAGCCGCAAGGCCTGCAATGACACTGGAGTAGTGTTCTTCGTGGCATGCACCCCACCGCGACGAATTTGTATGAAAAGAGCTTGACTGGGCCGGCAGGTTCTGGCTTTCGGAACGGCAGTGGAAGCAAAGCATAGAGGGCAAGAGACCTCCCGCTCCTCCTCCAACCGCGCGAAGTCATCGAGTAGCAAGGACTGCAGGTCAGTAGGTTCCGAAGGTGCCGTAACCTGGTGAACCAACTCAGCACTGCGCAAAACCCTTTGCTCCCCGCAGCCGATACACTCAACGGTGAGCTCCTCGACCAACTCGAGCCGAGATTGCAATGCAGGCTCCGGCTCAACCAGGCTTTCCAGAAAAAGCGCTGCATCCTCAGGAGGGGAGCCTGCACCACCGAGGCCCAGTGCAGACAAGAACGCCTGCCAGTTATCATGGCTGGGGGAGGTGAGGACCTGTCGGAGTGAAGCGAATTGCAAGGCTTGAGGCTCCCCCGTGACCGACAAAGTCCTAAGCTGAAGAAGCACCTGAAGAACAACTGCAGCGTAGCAAGTGTTCCCGTGGTTGGGGAAGTTCGGAGTCACGACAGGGGCGGGGGGAGTCCTGGCAACCCGGGCCGGGAGAAGCGCAGGAAAGTCCGACGCAGCCGCATTGAAACCATCAGAACGAGTATGCAGACCCCCACCTTGCAAATCCGGCCGCTCAGGCCCCTCGGCACGACGCGACTTGCGCGTGGGACTACTTCCTCAGGACGCCTGGCCGCTGAGGTCCGCACGGCCGTGGGGCCGGCAAGCTTCTCGAGCAACACATTGTGGACGGCACCTCCAGCATCCTTGATGGCAAAGACAATGTCAGCAGGCTCCGTGGAGGAAGCCAAGGTGATGCGACGAGTCGTGGTCCCCGTGAGCAAGTTGCTCACTAAGTATGGTTTGAAAGCCTCAGTGGCGAGGGTAGCAACAATACTTTCAGGATCAAAGTCGCGAGGCAAGTCACGCACACAGAAACGGTGGCGCGAATCCGGCACAAAGACCACATGTGGTTGCAGCACGGCCTTGCAAGCCTGCTCCTGATCCTTGTGAACCCGCACCCCCCAGCGAGTTGGAGGAATCCCGGCCAAAGCCAACCGGAGAGATTGCAGAATCTGTACCGCCGAACCATTGAGAAGCGCGGAGCGTCAGGTACCCACACTTTACGGTACGGGGCAAGCTGATCGAATGCGATGAAATCCCTGGCAAGGACAGCGGCCGATGGAAGCCCTCTGGTCAACCACTCCAAGGCAGTCGACTTGGGAACCCGTGTGCAGACTTTAATGCACTCCTCCTGAACCCAACGGCGGCAGGTTTTGCCCGCCTCAAAAACCGCAGCCCCTCGCGAATCGACAAGAGTCTTGAGGTGAGTATTGACAAGCATGACGACGGTGGAAGGGACACCTCGGCTTTTACCCTTACCACGGCCCTTGTCACGGTCCGAGCCTTTACTTCGACCCTTACCCCCGAAGGATGCTTGCCCATCCTCCTTTTGGGCCGCAAGGACCGAACGATAGAGTTGGGCCTCGGACTCGTTGCACAAGTCTGCCCACCATTCCAACTGCACCTCAACAGCGTCGACAGCCGTCAAGGCCAGTTCCTTAAACTCAACCTTGCACAGCTTGTCGACTCCGACATGTGTGAGGTAGACCTGCTCAAGGTGCGGAGTGCCATCAGGGTACAGCACAACCGTCGAGACGGGAAGGGTCTCCGAGCGGGCCGTGGGCCCAGCCGTGACCAGTGTGAACAGTCCGGCCGGGGGTGTGTGAGCTGGGATGCTATGCAACACACGATCGGCCGAAGCCGCATCAACACAATACACGCCAGGGGTGCGCTTCCACAGAAGGGTCATAGGGTCCCCTTCCGGGCCCGGTCTAAAGGCATCCTGCCGAGCGTCCTTGGCAAACGGAACCGGGGTGCTTGCAGGTTTGTGCTGCTGCCAATCTTGGACGCGCAGGCGCCACTGTGGCAGTGGAGGAGCTTGAGTCGGAGAGGAGGACGGGGAGGACTTTGGCAAGGGCGCACTGGCACCCGCTTCCCGTGTCTGTTGCTGTTGCCAACCCAACTTGGCTTTGAAGGCGGCACCGCAAAGAATGTCGACCTGCTGCGTTTGATTCTTGGCCCCTTCAAGGCGTTGCCGAACATTCTCACCAGAAACTAGCATACGGATCTGCGCAGCCGGTGGATGCAAGTGGCGAGCTTTCAGAACCCCTAGCACTGCATCAAGCCAAGCCTTGCTCCCTACATGATTGGTGCATGGGCTGCCCTCGCTGCCGCCACCACACAGATCTCGACTGGATGTGGGTGCAGAGCAAGGGGCACAAACCGGTTGTGTGAGCATCGGGTGCTTTCTGGACTGCCGTGTATCAATGCATGACTGAGGCAGGAAGCTGATCAGCATGCGAGAGCACATGCGCACGCAATACAAAATACAAGTGATTGAAACCACGCCTGGTAAAGTATCTAATGCCCCGATACTTCCAAGCAACCCCATCACTATGTGCAAAAGTGTGGCGCCACATACAGTCTGGCATAACTGACTGGTCACAGGATAAACATCGCGGGTGTACACTGCATCGAGCTTGGAACTGAGCAGCATCGCCGCCCAGTCAGCCATGTCACTTCTTGCAAAGTGCTCGCTGCAGCACGATTTCGGCGATCAAGCTCAGAGTGCAATCGAGGGGACTTTTGTTTCTGGGCGTTTTTTAATTTCTTAAAAATTATTATTCCATGTCAGCCTTCCGCGGTTCCGTTTGCATTGCTTTTTCTGCGAGAAACGTGGCCACATGAATGCTATGAAAGCCATGAAGGCAAGATGCTTTGAGATTCCTAGTTTTTGCAGGTATCTGGGCCTACCTCACAGAAGCCACTACCACCGGCCCGGCATGAGCCAGGTTCGAAATGGCTACCGCAGGTTGTACAGTGTTCTACATTGCTCCTGCTCGGGGCTTTCATCTTGCTCCATTGTGAAAAGACCTGCAAAGACCAGGAATCCCAAAGCATCTTGCCT